TCAACATTGTCGCTATAGCAAAGGTAATCTTGAACTCACCTGGAGGTCATAAATCCTGGGGATCTCTGCAGGGCCTCTGCTCTCTTGGCCTTCTGCGTGTACAGGGCAATCAGTTGTGGTGTATATCTCACAAGCTCGCAGTAGAATTGGTTGCATAGGTTCAACATCTATAAAGCGATGGAACTCAGCAAACACCTGCAAACACATAAATGTATATAGCTTAATGGTTTTCAACTTGGGCCTTAACAGGAAAACATAAGCCATCAATAACTTGTTTTCAAAATAAAAAAAAAATGGCTAAGAATTGATTTAGCAAATCAAATATCTTTTAAACAAGACTAATTGTATAATATTTCATCATCTAGTTTCTACCTGAATCAACATGCCCACACCAACACAGACCCTTGTGTTTTCTATCAACACAGTGCCATTTTTGGTCTTAACAGGGCTGAGACTGAATTTCAGTCAGGTACAAAATAGTTTAAGAACCATAAAGTCTATGTCATTCAACCATCTCATTCGTTTATAAGAGCCTTTAACAGAGCCTACAGTGAAAAATGTTTGCACATGATGCTGTAATGGATCTACAGTTTCCTTGGCCGTAATCACTGCCAATCATTCTGAAAGAGAAACAGAAGAGGAGCTGTGCATAAAAACCTCATAAAAATTAAAACCACAAGAGCAATAGTGCAAACTAATAGGAGAGTTAAATGTGGACTCTTAAACATCAGATCTCTCTCTTCTAAAGGTGTACTAGTAAATGAACTAATATCAGATTATGATATTGATTTATTTTGTCTTACTGAAACCTGGCTGGGTGATGGAGAATATGTTAGCCTAAATGAATCCACCCCTCCCAGTCATATTAATACTCACATTCCTCGAGGCACAGGCCGAGGAGGTGGAGTTGCAGCTATCTTCGACTCTAGCCTACTAATCAGCTCTAAACCTAAATTACTCATTTGAAAGCCTTATTCTTGGTCTTTCGCACCCAAGTTGGAAATCACTGAAACCAATTCTCTTCGTTATAGTGTACGGAGCACCTGGCCCATACTCTGAATTCTTATCTGAATTTGCAGAGTTTTTGTCAACTTTTGTCCTTAAAACGGACAAAGTTATTATTGTAGGGGATTTTAATATTCATGTGGACATTGAGAATGACAGCTTTAGTACTGTGTTTATCTCTCTATTAGATTCCATTGGCTTCTCTCAAAGTGTTCATGAACTGTTTTAACCACACCCTCGACCTTGTTTTGGTGTATGGTATTGAAATTGAACATTTAGTGGTGTTCCCACAGAATCCCTCTTTGTCCGACCACTGTTTGATAACTTTTGAGTTTGTATTGTTGAACTACACGCCATTGGGCAAAAATGTCTATACAAGATGTCTGTCTGATAGTGCTGTAGCTAAATTTAAGGATGCGATTCCATCAGCTCCAAATTCATTATCAAGTCACAAAGTAACGGAGGACTCCTATGCTAATTTCAGTTCCTCCCAAATCGATCATCTTGTTGATAGTGCTGCAGGCTAGATGCGAATGACACTCGACTCTGTAGCCCCTCTAAAAAAGAAAATAATAAAACAAGCTCCATGGTATAACACTGAAACTTGCAAATTAAAGCAAATATCGCGGAAACTTGAGAGGAATTGGCGTTCCACCAAACTGGAAAATTCTCGTTTAATTTGGCAAGATAGTCTTAAAACTTATAGGAAGGCCCTCCCTAATGTCAGAGCAGCGTACTACTACAATCCTCTTCACTTTATATATGCTTCTTTTAGGCAGTATTATCAGGAAATATTTCATAAACTTTCATTGTTATGCAGATGATACTCAGTTATATCTATCGATCAAGCCAGATGAAACTCATCAGTTAGCTAAACTTGAAATGTGCCTTCAGGATGTTAAAACCTGGATGACCTGTAATTTTCTAATGTTAAACTCAGATAAAACTGAAGTTATTGTTCTGGGGCCAAAGCACCGCCGTGATGCATTATCTAAAGATATAGTTTCCCTTGATGGCATCGCCCTGGCCTCCAGCACCACTGTGAGGAATCTTGGAGTTATCTTTGATCAGGACATGTCGTCTCACATTAAGGAAATTTCAAGGACCGCCTTTTTTCACCTACGTAATATTGCGAAAATCAGGAACATCCTGTCTAAAAATGATGCAGAAAAACTAGTACATGCATTTGTTACTTCTAGGCTGGATTCCTGCAATTCCTTATTATTAGGCTGCTCGAAAAAGTCCATTAAGACTCTTCAGCTGATTCAGAATGCTGCAGCACGTGTTCTGACAGGAACCAGGAAAAGAGATCATATAGCTGTGTCTCAATTCAGGGACCGCATCCTTCGAAGGCTGCATTGCGACTAGGCTGTCCCATTTCGAAGGCTCCTTCAAATGCGGCCGACAAATGCAGCCTTTTTTTCGTCCGTTTGGAGGATCCAACAGTTGGATCCTTCGTAGCCCCAGGTATCCCGACATTCATTGCGTGCCAGTTGATTGTCCCAGCGTAAATAATGGCGTCGGCTGTGGCTGTGGAGTTGAGCCCCCCGGATTTTACCTATAAATGTAAGTATTGGATTTCAACTCATTTCAAAAGCCAACTACACATATGTAAAATAACAAGACGAATAAAAGTGCAATGTGTCGTTTAAAGAATAGTTTTGTGGAAGAAGTTAACGTGAGTTAAGTGATTAACTGGCGAGCTAACGTTAAGTTAACGTTACCTGAGGTTACTGATGTGCTAACGTTAACGTTAAATGCAAATCGTTTGGGCAAGTTACAACCTAAAAATAAAGCCTTTAACGTCTTCACTTGAAATCGAAGAAGTTCAAGTCAGACCTGCGTCTTACCAAGATTGTCGCGATATTCTACATCACTTATACTTAATATTATGTACATGAAAATAACGTGACCACGTAACGTTAGACGGGTTGTGAACCCTGCTTGGTTTTCAGACAGTTAATGTTAGTAACGGTTACAAAAACCTTGGGATATAGTACACGGTTAATGTAACTGATTTATGCTGCTTACTGTTTGGTGATGTGAAGCATAAAACTTACTTGAACATGTCGTTTTGTTTTAGGGAGCAAGGAGCAAACTGCCCTCTTTATTAAATTGAGGGGGGACAGCGACCACCTCTTCACCGGGGCAAAGTTTTCTGCCAACGTGGCTTGGAGGTAATTAAAGTATCAATAGCCCTTTTGTAATATCTGCATTTAATCATCGTGTACTTAAAGTTACAGTTAAATGAGCCGCCATCCTATTCAAAGCCTTTAACAATAAGACAACTAGTAAATGGGGCAGCCCTTTGTTGTGTCTTCACACAATTACCATGTACCGCAATTTCCCCACTGTGGGACAAATGTTTTTTCTTATCTTTCTTATTTCTTTTGTTTCTCTGTGATTAGGACAATTTTGGAGAAAATGGGCCTGTGGGGAAGGTGACTTCCCTCCAAGCGAAAAAAAAGTGGGACAATTTAAAAAAAAATACAAAGTATGTATGTATGATTTGAAATTGATATATTCTATACATTTTTGTATAAATCGTTCACTGTGCAGCATAAAGGGAAATATAAACCACATTAAGTGTCCAGGCGCAGGAGAGGGTGTAGGGGGGAGCCCATTGCTGCAACTTGGCCCTGGTTTGTCCTCATGGATGAGGTGTTGGGACAGAGGCATTCCACCACCCCACCTGTCGTAATTGCCTCTATCCCTGAGGACACACCAGGGCCAAGTGCTGCAGTGGGTGACCAGGAGGAGGAAGAGGAGGAGGAGGAGAGCCAGCCGAGAAAGAGAAAAGGTCCCTCTTTCAGAGGATGAGCTGCTTCAGCTACTGAAGGAAGACACGAAGTTGCAGAGAGAGGCAGAGGGAGGAGAGCACAGGAGAGCAGAGAAGGATGGACAGGCTGTTCTCTCTACTAGAAAGACTGGCCGAAAAATAAATAAATCCTTAAATAATAATATATATAATATTTATTAATCAATTCAAATAAAATATTTGTTAAATAAATGATTTTATTTTCTGTGGTTTATAACTAATAGTATTTACAGCATATTTACAACATTTATTCTGAGCAGGGAGACCTGGACCTGGATGGGCTGCCACAATAAAGACCCTGGTCAGCAGGACATCATCTGGGGTGGTCTCCAGAGTGTGTTGCAGGTGTGGATGCATCTCTCCACTGTCCACCGTATCGTCCATCAGTGGGTTTGCAGGGCTGGTTCAATCGACGGCTGCCAATGTCACTAAGATGTTTTAGTAAGAGGCAAGAATAATAGGCTGTGCACACAAAATACTAATTCACAATCTTATTTTGACAAAATAAATCTACAAAATATTTCAACAGGCAAAATTGTTAGGATATGAATAGGAATTTACCGATCTTTTACTTGCCTGTTAAAAATATTGGTGGTCAGGGGGCACCTCCTCAAGGGCAGACACCTCTGCAGACAGCTGGTCACGCCAGGGAGCACCGCTAACTGTCTCCAAACCGTTCTCCCCCTCATCCTCTGCCTCGTCCTCCTCAGGCTCATCCTCTGGGGCCACAATATCACCAGCACCAAGGCAGATGTTGTGGAGGATGGCACATGCTGTTATGACCTGAAATGGTTAAAAATATATTTCAGTCTGGAAAAAAACAACCATTTATGCTTTTTGATGAATCTGTCTGTTGATTTACTCATTAGTACAGTAAAGAAAATACTCACGTGAGGTACAAAGGTGTGGTGCACCTCCAGCGCTTGCAGGAAGATGGCCCGGAACCTGGTCTTCATCATCCCAAAAGCACGCTATATAATGGAGCGTGCCCTGGAGTGATGGCTGTTGAAGCGCTGGGCTCCCACACCTTGTATTGGCCTCTTGTAGGGAGTGATGGGGGGAGTGGGTGTTGGAGGCACGGGTACCCTCCGTCTGCAAGGAATAAAGTGCCCTGGAGGAGGGTAGAGTGAACTCCTGTACAGTGGGCTGTAGTGGATCACTCTGACCGACCCAGGCCAGCCCACGTAGGTGTCAATGAAGCAGCCCTGATGGTCACCTGCAGGATGATGGATGGAAACAGTTTCCTGTTCCTGTAGCACTGACCATCAGGGCCGCTCGGTGGCTTGATGCGGACATGGCAGCCGTCGATTGCTCTAGCTGCTTTAAAAAAGCTCTGTGTCTTGCCAGCCTGCAAACCCACGGGATATCGTTGTAACTCATCCTGGGTCTTCGGTAGGTGGATGACCTTGTGGCGAATGGCCACCACCTCCTCAGTGACTCTGTGGACGATGCGGTGGACAGTGGATCGAGGCATTGCAAACACTCTGGAGACCACCTGTATGATGCCCCACTTGCCAGCCAGAAGAGAAACACCAGGGTCTCAATCGTGGCACCCCATCCGTGTCTCCGTTCCTGGTTTAGGAGGCCTAGTAGCACTCCCAGGGCCTCCCTGCTCAACCGGAAATCTGGCCGTGTGTCCTGCAGGTTAAAAAACCTGTCCAGCACAGGAACTCTCAAATTTATCCTGCAGTACAGGGGCCTTGGCTGGTTTAGGGATACAAGGAGAAGAACAACTGTTATGAAGTGTAGAGAGCTTAGTTAGATAAGGCTTGTATATCTTTCTATTCAACTTGCTTTAGCTGGTCAATGACAAAAACACTGTCAATATTTTAATATTTAAGTAAGGTTAGGTTTTCTTTAAATATGAAAATTATGTTGTTAAAGTGAAATGGCAGTAGCAATAAACAACGTTAACTGAGGTTAACATCACTGTTAGCTTTAGGAAGCCTATAGTACCTAAATACATATAAAATGTAACGTTTCTTAGTTACTTTCCCCCGTATTTACCTGGCCAGGCTCCTCTCTCAGCCTGAGATATCATGCGGCGGCGCCGGCGGTGAAGTATCTCTAGTTCCTCTATTAAGAGGTAAAATATTAAAATTAAAATATTCGTCTCTATTGCCGGTGGACCGCAGCTGTGAAGGTTGCTAGGCGACAGGAGCAGCGCTTCCCCACGCATGGGTAAGGGCGGGGTCAGTTGATGACGCAATAGACAGTCCTCCGTAGACCAGACCGTCTCATTTAACAACGGTCAGTTCGGCCTTTTGCGGCCGCATGCCTTCGTAGGCCGCGAAGAATTGAGACACAGCTTATTTCTCCTGTTTTAGCTTCTTTGCATTGGCTTCCAGTAAATATCAGAATAGAATTTAAAATCATTCTTCTCACCTACAAAGCTCTTGATGGTCAGGCACCATCTTATCTTAAAGAGCTCATAGTACCTTACTACCCCACCAGAGCACTGCGCTCCCAGAATGCAGGGTTACTTGTGGTTCCTAGAGTCTCCAAAAGTAGACTAGGAGCCAGAGCGTTCAGCTATCAAGCTCCTCTCCTGTGGAACCAGGTTCCAGTTTGGGTTCAGGAGGCAGACACCATCTCCACATTTAAGACTAGGCTTAGGACTTTCCTCTTTGATAAAGCTCATAGTTAGGGCTGGCTCAGGTGAGTCCTAACTCCTATTGTGGTTGCGGGTCACCTGCTGCCCCCGTGTTCCTGCTCGACACCCTCTGCTGCAACGACTATTGTTGCTAGTCCTATTGTTATTATAATAATTAACATTAAGATTGTTATCATTAACACTACTGTAGCAGACCTAAATTTATTAGTTATGCATTTTAATAAATTTATAAGAATTGATACCCAATTATGAATTAATATTCATAAAATCAAAATTTCCTCGTTAAGGGCACCACCGGAGTTGTTATAATCCTAGAGTCTCCGGACCTCTAGGTAGTTTTGAATAATTATACAATTATTACTAGTGATCAGTTAGTTAATAATCGCTCAATTATCTTAAATCAGTCAGTCAGTCTCATATCTAAAGGGTCAATTCTCTTGGCAGGAACTAGAAATAGGCAACACACACAGCTCTTGATTATATTACAGTGAATTTATTCTCTAACTAAGGTGATAAAAAGATGGTTGGATACAGGGAACATAAACATTTGCTGAACAATGAGCCTGGAGGTTCGGTTGTGGAAAGCATTTGACTCATACGGTATGCTGTGATTTTAGGAGTTAAAATGGACATCTGATCACAGGACGTGTGTTAAGTCTTACTGCTTGTCGACAGCCTGCTTTTGGCCTGTTGCACGGGTCCCACGCTAGCTGCCCGATCCTGGCTTTTTGCTAGGGATTCTCCGGGGTTCTCCGTGTCTGATTGAAGACGCCTCCTCCGTCTGGTAATTTGGCTGTTTTCAGGTTTCCTTCGTTGTAGCTGGCGAGACCACGTGGCTTGGTCTGACCGCGGTGAAGTTGGCTCGACGAAAAAGGCTTAAAATGGAACTTGGTCGTTCCTGAATTAGTCCAGTGTAACTTAACGGACTGATAACTTTAACAAACAAAAGAAATAAAGACATTAAAACAAAGTGAAGGCAGATCGATGTCGCGGCACTTCAGGTGTGTAGCTTCAGGCGAACAAAAGGCCTGTCTCGCTGGCCGAGTCTGGGCGTTGCCTGGCGAGGCACGCCAAACGCGTGCCGAAGTGTCCAGCGAGCAGAACAGAGTGGAAGAGAGCCAACAGCGAAGAGCAGAGAGCGAAGCAGGTCGCGTGTCGCTCTTTTGTTGCCTGGGGCGTGGTTCCCCAGGGGGCCTCTCAGGTTTCCCAAGGGACTGCCTTTCTAAACTTAATGTCTAAAGAAAAGAAATCTATTTGCACGTATTATAATCAAACATTTTCCACAATCGAACCTCAATGGTTGAACGGTTGTACTGTTCTAAGCATTTGGTAACAGGAAACAATTGTCACATTATTGGTCAGGATATTTATACATTTAACGGCATTTCCGATGAGGGCATGTAATACTTATTTCGCCCACTTGGGGGAGCTCAGGTTACATGAGGAAAGCTTGGATTACATTAGATGAAGGAGTGTCTTGCTGAAAATAAAAACACTGCACAAGTAACTTCTTTTCAGCACTAATATCAACAACAGATAGCAACAACAGTTAACATAACTACTCAAATAGAGGCAAACGTAATCAGGTAACTAAAGATTTAATTAAATGCTTTGAGTCTTTGGAGACTGCAGTCCGTTTTACATTGAAAGTTCAGTGTCTGGACTATGTCACACTTAGGTGAGACAAGGAGTATCCCTTTGATGTGGTAATAAAACAAAGAATAAGGTCAGTTGCCACGGAAACGTGTGTGGGGGGCCAGTTTTGATTGGCTGTTCAGGGAGATGCCAATGGCTGGTGCGTGTCTCTTTGTCAGTTTAACAGTCAGGCCCCGCGTTATCAGCTTCGGAATCAAAAAGGTGCCAGTTTTATGGTCGGGATAGCACTTAGAGAAAGCAACTTTGACCCCTCCCCTTCTTCTCTGGGGAGGAGAAAGGAATTTAGGGTAGCTCCAAATTTATTCAATGTAAAATGCACAAATCCACACCGTTGTTCACTACACTTTCCAGTGGGAAAAGTGGGAATACCTCCTTGGTTTCCTGTCTGGTTAGGCAAT